GTTAAGGAGCCAGTGCCATAACGTCACAGGCTAGATGATAGACTGAACAGGAGGGAAGCAGATGATAGCAGATACAAGTACACAGGAACCTGAAGTGTAATTACAGGGCAGAGAACTGTGGGAGAGGGAGGGAAACCAAACAACAGCATATATGGGACAAAGAAATTGCTTTCTAGAGGGAAGATTTGTAAGGAATACATTTCAAGCCAAGAGAGTTGAGTCATATAAACTGAAACAGAGGGCTCGTTTCCCTGGTGGACATTAGCTACTAGACAGAAAACCAAAATAGATCAAAGCATTATAACTTCCAGCAGGCATCCACACTAAAACCACTGCTGTGCTGCTCCTCTGGTTTAGTTTAGTGTTCTACTTCTGGCACAAACAAAGACCTTTTTTAAAATTAAAAGAAGATGAAGCCAAAACTCAAATTGTCCTGATGCTTGCTTATTTAAAGTTGGACTTAAAACATTGCGCAATTAGTGTTTGTATGTTTTTGCATTTGTACATGCACACTCAGCTGGGATCTCTGGCTTTGTTCTGGGTTTGCAAAGATTTTTTTTTTTTGTTGTCAGTGTGGGTGTATCCAACTGTGACAAGCTGCTTGGCTCCGTGCGGTCCTTTGTAAACCCCGGAGTGTCCCGTAGGAATGGAGCAGCACTGAAAGCAGCTTAGCCCCAGCGTTCACCTCTTGACTGCGTTACTGATTTACAGACTGCTCTAAGGGCCAGACAAAACAAAGGAGTAGTCACATGGGGTCGGGAAGAGGTATTCACCCGCTTATCTCATTGTTGTGTTTTCAGGGATCAGATGCTCTCTATTTGAAAGGGTTTGAAAAAGGAGGGAGAATTGGTTTGCTCCTTTTCCTCAAACCAAACCGAGTTAAATTGGTGCTCCTCACTGTGAGCATTGTTTCTGGAAATAAATGTGTATTTTTATACAAGTTTTGTAAGTTAATGAAATATATACGGCCTAGTTGTAGATTTATCCAACTGTAAATGTTTAGATACTATCGAAAAAATCACTTGACTATCAGCACATTCCTTACACTTTTTTCAACAAAGTGATGAAGATTGATGAGCTCAGTTCAGACTAAGACGAATCACAATGACCTCGTGCCATTTTATCATCTTTGATTCTTGCAAACAAGCTTGACAGACACCACAGCTAACCCAAAAAGTATGCTAACCTGAGCAGATTTGCTACACATGACAACATTGACATGTTACATGCAATGAATGATGTCTTCTGAAAGTAAAGACCATTTGCCGTAAATCAAGTTATGCCATCTGTTTTCCCACTCCCACATGGTTTTCTCGTACTTAATTGTAAATAACACATTTCACAATGAATAACTCTGACATAATCATAAAGCGGCTTGGTGTCACTTGTAATTACAATGCTGACAGTGGTATCCGGCTGTGGCACTTTACATCTGTCTGTGTCTGACAGCACTAAAAGGTGGATTAGTCCTGCAACTTGTTGTCAGAGCAGCTTAGGTATGAGACTCTTCATTTCCAGTCTCTTGTACTGTCTGAATATATCTCAATATCTGGAAAATTGTATACCCTGGAAATCGTTTTAGCTTGTTTAAAGTCATTTACCATTTTAATTTTACATTGGCTCAGTTCTCAGGCTATTGTCTGTTGGACTGCAAAATTAAGAAATCAATTACTTAAGCCCTTACACAAGGAAACATTTGGGGGCTTTTTTAAATCAGACATGACCTAAATAATTTTGCATAATCCTCTTTAATATTCAGCTAAACTAGTTCTATTCAAGAAATACTTTTTGAGAGAAGCTAGTTGATTTGGCAGTTTTTTTTTCCTCTGTTTTGTGTTATTACCTGTTTAGATGCAATTCTTGAGTTTTAGAAACTTCTCATTAATTCTGGTTAATGAACTAATTTCTTTATCCTATTGGATAACTCCAGAAATACTTTGATCAAGCTCAAACCAAGGCAGCTGGTATTTGGGAGGAGACTTTCTCGCTAGTTTCCTTAGAATTCACACTTAAAGACACATTTGAGGCCCTTTCCCCCAGTCATCGACCTGAGAGCTGTCTTCGTTAGCGGTGTGCTTGCTCCCTCTTCCACCTGCTAACAGGCAGCTGGCTGTTCTGTTGTGACAACGGTGGGAGCTTCCAGACACCTTTTTAACAGCTTGGCTCGTTAGTGAGAGATTTAGCACTCTAACTTTGGGGGTCTGGAGGGCTGCTAATGTCCTAGAGGGGTGATTTGCTGAGAAGGAGATGATTATGTCTACCAGCTTGCCTGCTTGGGCAGAGTTTTGTCTGACATTGTCCTGTGTGATCGTCTTACTCAAGATGGTCGATTGAGCCAAAATGGCAAGACAGAGTTATTTTTTTTCCATGGTGCCCCAGGCCCCATTTATAGTCAGTGTGGGCATTGTTGTACAGGAAATATAGAAACCCAAATGTAATACTCTCTCTTTAAGTTAAGAGTCCATAAATATCTCAAATTACTTTAGACATAGAACTAATTGAGAAACACTTTTTGGAATGTTGATGAATAAAATTTCAATCAACCCTGATACACATTTATTTACAAAAGAGTTTAATGAATATACATTTCTAAGTTATGTTTCCCATGTTGTCGTTTATTAAAGTCACTTTTTTCATCAATTGTCAGGTGCTCTGATTCTTACATTTGTATTTAGTCAAACCTGAGTGGGAAAAAAAAGTACTTAATTAAAATAAATAATTCCTCATAGCCATGCTTTCTGTAGCTGACATGGCTGGTGTACATGTACCGACATTTTTTCAAAAGAGGTTATCAGGCTTTGGATAAAACATGTCATTTGAAGACAAAAGCTCATCTGCCAGCTTCACAAGCAACTATAACCAGTTCCAGATGTGATAATCAGCCCCATCGTTCGAACAAGAGCAAGCCAAATGAAACGGGCCAAATTGCCTCAAATATTTTGCCAATTTTCCGTTACCCCCCAAACATCAGTTACTGCCTACAGTGAGAATATAGAAAGTGTACACCGTTTCTTATTATGTTTCCAAAATTTGTATAGCATATTTTTCTGGACTTGACCAAAGCTGTTGTGACCAGAGACTTCACTTAGCTCTCCAAGGACATTATTTACAGCTTTTTAGAGCATACAGTGTTTAGCTGACTTGAGTGAAAATAGGGAGAATTAAATGTACTTTCTTACAAAACATACTGACCTGTGTCTCAGAAAATTCTTACTACAACCTAATTTTCCTTTTGATTTATTTATTCAACCTTGATTTTGCCAGGAAAATAGATTTATATAGATATAAGATGTATTTTTAAAGACAGTTGCTTGATACACACATTTTCCTTCACTGCTTCATATTGGCCATTGTGCATATCTCATATGCAGTTCAGGTAGCCATCTTTTTGAACAAAGATTTAAAAATGAAAAAAAAAAAAAAATCTGTCTTTATGTTGAAGTCAATGAAGAATTATAAAACAAGTAAATTAGAATTAGGTGTACACAGCCATGCACCAAATAAAGGCAACTATGCTTTTAGGAGGAACAAAAAAATTGATGTTCAATTAATGTGGATTTTTATTATATAACTTGCTATATCAACTGCCAAGCATGAATCGAAAGTATCGTTCCAATCAGTTTCCTTCTTCTGTAAAGTATCTTGATACCAGAATCTCTTTACTTTAGCATCTAAAATTGAATCTAGGCATGACTTGTGGCTCCTCAGCTGCCCATTCCTTTTAGTGTGTTCATAATTATGATGGATAAGACTGCAGCTCTTTGTGCCTGCACACTGCAATTGTTTTGCAGATGCTGCGGATGTGACATGCATTAATAATTGAGGGAGGCAGACAGAAATCAATGTTGTACAGGAATCAGTTGAGTCGATTTTGTTTGGGACAGAAAGACCATAGGAAAAGCAAAAATGAGACCATAAGCTCTGTGTGCTGTTTAACCCTATATGGAGATCACATTTCCCATGAATCATGTTAATTACTTTATTGACTGTTAATAGACCACAGCGACTATGTTATAAAAACTAAGAGCTAGCTCCTCTATCATTTTAATCTCAATTCAAAATCCTTTTCACCTTTGTCAACTTACTATTTCTTTCAAGTCAAAAGTAGTATTGATATAGGCTGAACAGTATTTTTTGTTTTTCTTTAAAATGCAACTTTAAATGCTTTGCTATAACAAGATTACAAGACCAGAAAAAGCTATTTCACTTACCTTGGTAACTGATTAAGTTTTCCTTCTAATGTTGTTTTGAGGTTTATAAATGTGTCATAAGAAACAGTTCTTCCAACTAATTACATATTTTTGTATCAGATTGATGAAATCAGCACAATTAACGGTGGGAAATATTTGTGGGAGTGTTTTCTTCCACTCATTAGGGTTAGGTTAAGGACTTACATATGTCACGAAGTTCACAATTCAAAGCCCTTAGGCAAAAAAATGGTATGTGCATATTTGATATAACAATGCATGTAGGGTTCGGAATACAAAGACTGAGCAGCTGATGAGCAACCAATTTCTCCTCCCATCTACCATCTGGGATATTAACCATTTATCCTCTTGCCTTAAATTAACTATGGTTATGTTTTCCTTAATATATACAGCCATTGATATTAGGACCAATAAGCCAAATTCATGAATAATTTGAACTCTTTATTGAAAATGATTCAACACTCATTCAATTCAACTCAATTCCTTTGGCAGTTAATTTGAATAAGGTCAGACTCTTGGGAAAGGAATCAGACATGTATTGTGTGATGGGTATGAGTTCTTCATACCCATCACACAGTCCTTCAGTACTTCAGATTCTCCAACAAAAGAGGACACAATTTCTTAGCTCTGTCCAAGGTATTTACAACTTGGTGGCTGACCTAAACTTAAGTAATCTTCAATTCATAACGGTGTAGATTGAAATACAAAGTAAATATTCCCGTATTGGAAAACCCATCTCTGCTCAATTAATGATGAAACAAAAATATTGATCTCCAACTTTTTGCTTTGTAGGACGGACAGAGGGCAGCCCTGTGGATGGACTCTGAGCAGGCCAGATGGAAACAGAACAGGCCAGACATGAGACGGAAGAAAGTCGGATGTTAGCACAATTTGGCTCATCTCACAACATCTCTCACAAACTCCAGAATGGAGACCAGTCCTCAGAGGGAGATTCCCCTGAGAACACTGGGGATACAAACTGGAATCATTACAAGCCCAGTGTAGGTACCAACTCCATGAAGAGGCACAGGGAGACCTGCAACAGCCCAGCCTCTGTCTATGGGCTCTTTGACGAAGGACCCACAATGACAAATGGAGATTTGATGAATGGAGACTTGAAGAATGCACTCACTGAGCAGTCCTTACTGGCCCACCAATCCAAGAAATTTAAAGTAAATTCTGAAATAAAAGGAAATGATGACTTAGGCTCCAGTTTGTTGGATAACTTCCCTGAGATGACAAAAGCTACAGAATTTGAATGCAATACCCCACAGATAGAGAATAAGTCAGACAAAAGAAATTATCAGTTTTCTAATGGAGAGATTTTTAGTTTACCAAGGAATAAAGCAGGTCCAATTCCAAACGGTGCTGTTCCACACCCCTCAACCATAGAAAGCACTCCAGGTGATCTATTAGAGAAAACGTTGTCTCAGTATTATCCTGAGCAAGTGTCAATTGCGCCACAAAAGTCAAGGGCCCAGCTAGATGATGTCAATAATTCAAGAACAAATCAACCTCTCAATGAAGGTGCTCAACCCCCTTCTTTAACCTCAGGGCCCCTAAATTCAGTTCAAATTCCTGACTCACAGCAACAGCGACCTGTGGCATCAAGCAATGTGGAAGGAGGCAGCAATTATAACTCTGTCAACTACATGATGAATGGGTATTCCAACAATTTTGATGCAGACCACCAGCAGCACCAACAACATCAGCAGCAGCCACCAACATACCCTAGTAAGGAGATGAATTTGGGTCATCTGCCTGGCATGATCCCATCTAGAAATTCTGCCAATGGCTCACAACAACATCAAAATGGTCCACAGTGCTATCAGGATGAAAAAAATCCCCAAGGTTTATATACGAAAGCCAAGCAGGGGTTTAACCAGGACTCGTTTTTAGAGCAGAATGCTCCTCTACAGGTAGCAGAGGCAAGGGGATATGGGTCCTTTCCTAGGTCTGGGATGCAAAAGATAGCTCTAAGTGAGGAAACAGGGGCTAGTCAGATTCAGAACCATGGCACTGACAGGGGACATCATTATGGGATAAAACCGCAGACCTTAAACCAAAATGGTGGCAACCCACAAAGAGCTGACAGTATGGGGTCCAGTCTCCAGCAGCCACGTCACGCTGGATTAGAAAAGGGGATCGAGAACATGTCTCAGCAGAGAGCCAACTTATCATGCTCAGCTCCCCACCAAAGAGACTGGACGGAGCTGAACTCTTCAAATTCCCAGCAGCAACCAGCAAATGGTTCAACAGCCAGGGCACAGGAGCATGGCATGTGGAGATGTTTCCCTGCTAATCCTCAAACAGAGCAGCAGGCAACTAACACCCAGGTTCACTGCCAGATGTTGGAGCCAAATTCAGTGCAAAGATTCCAGGCACAGGGTGTTTTCACAGATAGCAGCCACGGTTCCAACAGCTACCAGCAGCAACAGGAGGACAGTCTCCCAGTCCAGACCCACTGTGTCCAGCATAACACTGCCCCTGAGTGGCAGCAATCAAATTCTAAAGCTTCACAATTGAAGCGACCTGTACCCCAGGACATGCCTGAGCAGAGAATCTTCCCCCAAAATCAGCAAACAGACAGCAACTTCCACACCCAGATGCAGCCCGAGCACTTAAGTGAAGATCCTGACCTACAGGAAATACTATCACCTGGGTTTTTACCAACAGAGCAACAGCAGCAACAACAGCACTCTACTCTTCAACGCCCCCTTTCCCAACCAACCCAATTTGAAGGGCAGCAACTCAAGTCCCCTAACTACAGACCTCACAGTCAACCCCAGCCAAGTCAGCAGCAGCTTAAACAGAACCATTCTCTTATAAACAGTTCTACTCAATCCAATAACCAACAAATCCAGCACAATGACCATGCAACCTTCAGTTACAATAACACATCAGAGATGCAACAGCTACAACATCATCAAAGGCATTATCCACCGAACTCAGGCACCAGTAACCTCAAGCCGTTTCTATCACAGCCACCAGACAACAACTGTCACCAGCATAACCACATGGACATCCCACATACCTCTACACAGTCACAATCTCACTTACCACAAGGCATTTTGAACCAACAGGTATCAACACAGATGTATCCTAAAGCTGAACACCAGCTAAAGGTATCATGTAATCAGATCCAAAGGGGAACTCAACTACCTCTGGGACCCATGAGTCCCCTTGGAGACCTTCAGAGACATGCAGCTCTGCGTATGCATCTGTTACAAAGGCAAGAACGTCATGGCCCTCAGAGTCTCATTGACTCTAAACTTGGCTTAAGACCTGTCAAAATGGAAAATGGACCCAGATTTGAGGTGCCTTGTTCACAGCAGCAAGATCGGCAATTACAGATAAACGATGCAGGCATACGTGGAATGCAAGTGAAGCAGGAGAATCAACAATCTGTGTGCGAGCGAAGCAAGAAACCGGGAAGCATCTTGGCATCAATGGAACAAAGCCTCAGGCAGTACCAGCTTTCACCTGTGTTTGAAAAGAAATCCCTTGTCATCAATTCATCAAATAAAGTCAAGGTGGAATCCTCTGGGGCAGTCACAATCCTGTCAACCAACGCTGACCTGACAGGAGTAGAGTCATCTGCAGCTTCTTCACCCAATGTAGCTCTAAAGAAACCCCCTGATTCTACCCCAAAGAAGGAAAACCTGCTACAAAGCTTTATGGACTCTCCTATGAAGCTATTAGATACCCCTATAAAAAATCTATTGGATACCCCTTTGAAAACACAATATGAAATTGCATCATGCCACTGTGTTGGTGAGTTTCATAATGTCAGTCTTAAAATATTATTCAGCATTTGGTCGATAAATATTTACATTTGCTCTTCTGTGATATTTAGAACAAATCAGTGAGAAGGATGAAGGCCCATACTACACTCATTTGGGGTCAGCGCCGAATGTTGCCAACATCCGGGAACAAATGGAGAAAAGGTAAACAACACAAATTGATTTCTTGAAAATAATAGTTAAAAATTGGCTGTGTTGCATAGCAACGAGGTACTTATGTTTACTTTAATGCTTCTATTCTTCTTCAAAGGTCTGGGCTAACAGGTCGTGCCATAAGAATTGAAAAAGTAATATACACAGGCAAGGAAGGGAAAAGTACACAGGGTTGTCCCATAGCCAAATGGGTAAAAATCAATTTAACATTTTTAATCTTAATAGGCACATTGGCTTATCTTGTATTTGCAAAAATGCATTTTGCAGTTTTTGTCTTTATTTATATAAATGTCTTCATAGCTATACGTGTTATGTTTCAGGTAATTCGACGAGCCAGTGAAGAAGAAAAGCTACTGGTGTTGGTGCGAGAACGAACTGGTCACACTTGTGACACAGCCTGCATCATCGTGGTAATTCTTGTTTGGGAGGGCATTCTTCCCAGTCTGGCAGATCGCCTCTACCTCGAACTCAGTGAAACTCTGAAAAAGCATGGAGCCCACACTCAGAGACGCTGTTCTCTCAATGAGGAGTAAGTGAAAGAATGACATGTCTCAAACCTGGTTAGCTACAGCATTTTTGGGAAATTCTGAAACTCTGCATTGTTTTGATCTCACACTTCAGGAGAACTTGTGCATGCCAAGGGCTAGATCAAGATGCCAGTGGAGCCTCTTTCTCCTTTGGCTGTTCCTGGAGCATGTACTACAACGGCTGCAAATTTGCCCGCAGCAAAATCCCAAGAAAATTCAAGCTACTAGCGGATGATGTGAGAGAGGTAAGTGATGAAGACTTCAAATATCTATTTTAATGTAAACCATGTTTACCTTATTTTTAGTATACTCATTAGGCTAACTTGAAACTGCAATTTTTTGTCTTTTAGGAGGAGAAAATAGACCACAACTTTCAGAATCTGGCAACCTTATTGGCTCCCTTGTATAAAACTTTGGCACCAGAAGCATATGGAAACCAGGTAAGTACATCCAAATCTTTCATTATTATTTAAACTTATATGATGAAATTGTCCAGGTTCAGGTAGCCAAAATTGGGTAAGATCAAACAAAAAGCCAGAACAGATTTAAAACACAGTTAAAGTAGAGACCCGGTGTTTCAGAAAAAATAAATGAACAGTGATAATGCATTTTAAAATAACGCATAATTTTTGTGTGATAATCAAGTTTCCTGGCATGACTGAGGATAGACAGTAGTCTTATACTTAAACTAGGCATGCAGATATTGTTTGTTGATTTGTTTTTGAAAAGATCTGAAAAAAACCTTATGGCGTGATTTATTTTAGTTCAACTTGTTATACTGTACACAGTTACTTAATGCCTTGTCGAAATAACCATTAGTTTTTCCTGGACACAGGTGGAACATGAACACAGGGGAACAGATTGTCGTCTGGGGCTCAAGGAGGGCCGTCCCTTCTCTGGGGTCACTGCTTGTCTGGACTTCTGTGCCCATGCTCACAGAGATCTTCACAACATGCAGGGCGGCAGCACTGTGGTAAGCAGAACTTTGGAACTTTATATGCCTACAGGTGCGGCAACTATCAGGTGTTGATATTAACAAGATAAGTAATTTAATCATCCATCATTTTACAGGTGTGTACATTAACAAGGGAGGATAACCGAGAGATTGGCAAAATACCAGAGGATGAGCAGCTTCATGTACTACCCCTTTATAAGGCTTCCAACACTGATGAATTTGGAAGTGAGGAGGGTCAGCAGGAGAAAGTCAAGTCAGGTGCCATTCAAGTCCTTAGTGCCTTCCGCCGCCAGGTGCGAATGCTTGCAGAACCTGCCAAATCTTGCAGACAGAAAAAGCTGGATGCTAAGAAGGCAGCTGCCAACAAGAACGCCATGTTGGACAGCGCTAATGATAAGGCAGAGAAGACCCTGAATGCCAAGTCTAAAGGTGGCACTTATGAGAATACCACTCAGAGCACTATGATGGCAGGTAGGTTGTGTATCTAGAATATATCATCTATTTTGTTATAGATATATTTCTAACATACTAAATTAACTGGAAAAAACAATTGAGCGATCCCTTGGTTTTGTTTTCAAGGTATTATTCCAGGTGCTGTTGGGGCCACTCTGCAGCCAGGTCAACCAACATACCCCCTTGGGGCCCATCATCAGCAACTACAGCATCAGAGTGTTCTTCCACCTTATCCTGGCTCAAAAAACACACCCAACTACCCCAGGTTCCCAAACCACCCTGGGTCTTTTCCAAGCACTTCCAGGCCAGGAAGCATGTATCCCCCTCAGCGACAAACACCAGCAAGCCCTTACCCTTCCCCGCTCCATGTACCAAACTCCTACATTAATGGATCAAATCGTCCATACCCAGGATATCAATGTAATGGAGGAATGCCCCTTGACAATTACTATCCATATTATGCCTCTAACCCAAAGCATCTTGACATGTATCGACAACAGCGGCCAGCCCTTTACCCGGAGCAGCAGTATGGTGTACATCAACGTTATGAGGTCAATTATCCGCCAAGGTACAGTGAGCCAGCTTTACAGGTCAATGGTTACAATACCTGCGGCATGAGGCCAGTACACCACATGAGATCTTTTCCACCGTTTGGTCCTAATGGAGCATCAGACCCTCAGTTCATGGATCCCCTCTCAAGAGCACACTCAACCCATGGAGGTCGAGACTATACAGCTGCTGTGAGCAATGGCAACCAGATGGGAGGATACCCAAATCCATACCTTTCTCAGAGCCCTCAAATCTTACCCCCGGGCAAAGATCCTTTCCATATGCAAATCAAAACCGAGATGGTTACGCCCCACCCACAAATGCTTTCTGCTCAATTAAGTGGTGGGAGTTTAAACCCTGAAACACAGTCAGGGTTAGGTCTGCATAATGGTATTAAGCCAGAGCCTGGAACACCACCCACAACCCCAAAAAAGCCTGAGATGTGGTCAGACAATGAGCACAATTTCTTGGACCCTGATATTGGTGGTGTGGCAGTGGCACCAACACATGGCTCAGTCCTTATAGAGTGTGCAAAACGGGAGCTCCATGCCACAACGCCCGTGAAAAATCCTGACCGGAACCATCCAACACGTATTTCCTTGGTCTTCTACCAGCACAAAAATATGAATGAGGCCAAGCATGGCTTGGCACTATGGGAAGCCAAGATGGCAGAAAAGGCTCGAGAGAAGGAAGAAGATGCAGAGAGGAATGGGGGTGAGGGGACACCTAGCAAGAGTAACAAGAAAGGGGTGAAACGAGAGCATGTGGAGTCAGAAACCACCGGACCGCCTCCTTACAAGCGTTTTATCCAGGCACTTCTGGAGGGGTCCTTGTCATGCACAACAAACACCTATGTCAGTTCCTCTCCGTACGCCTTCACTAAGGTCACGGGGCCTTACAGTCAGTTTGTGTAGTAAATATTTATGAAGAAAAAATTGAAGGGGGTATTGATGACAAAAAGACCACAAGCACCACTGGCCTTTTCCAAACACTCCTTTCTATCTGCAATGTTAGTCACAGTGTTGCATAAAAACCTGTGATCAGATGGGATACACAATAGATAATCTATTACATCAGGTCTTTCAACTTTTTAACAATCAAGCTTTACATTGTCAACTTTTACAATTACATAACAACAATAAATCGCTGGTGCTTTCAGTCTGATACATATGGACCTATTTTTAATACGAACAAAGTTTCATTTTTGGGGGCTTTACTTTTCTTACATTTTGGAGATGCCATCTAGGCGAACAACACTGACTTTGTAAATGACAACATTCAAGGTGCTAAAATGAGTTCTTATAAACATTTATTTCTTTTTACAATAATGCCTTTACAATTTTACAACTCACTCTATGATTGACCCTCATATACTTGCATCAACAAGACACTGAAAACATAATTATACTGTTAAATTGTCAGCTTCAAAATGTTTGGCAAGTCAGTGTTTCTGTAAGCACTTTTAATAATGACAGTTAAGTAATACTGTTAAATTATAAGAGCTGGTTTAACTGTATCTCTACATAGAGTAATTCATTTCTAAGCATCAGTTAAGTAATGAATTTATGGCAGAGGGTTTTATGAGCAATCCGTGAAAATGTTTTGTGTTCATGCAAAAACTTTTTATCAACTATCAATATTTGGTGCTTCTCTCAGTAGGTTCTCTCACTTTCTTATGTCATTTATACTGTAAATTGAGCCATTCTAATGGTTAATTTTTAACATTGAGAAAAAATAACATCAACAACATGGTGTTGATTTTGTTTTTCAAGGCTCACTATGTTGTTAGCCACTGTTTTATTGTTCCTTACCTTAGGTTTAATGAACAAACCTGGACTGTGAATATTTCATGTAGTTAAATGTCTGTGGTGCTTAGTTTATGTGCTTTTTAAACACTGAGGAACATAAAACAGGGTAAGCTCAGCGTCAGTTTCAGGGGGCAGCTGGCTTGCTGTGGGGTCTATAATTATTGCAATCTAACTGTAAGATAAACAGATGAGATTTGTACAGTAAGTTAATTTCCCTTTTGGAATTACTGTTGTTGATTTTGTGTTGTAAAGAATGCTAACAGCCTATTTCATTTATTTCTTGGGGTTTCAACTGATTTCATATCATGAGGTGCTAAACAACCTGCTAGAGATGTACAATGTGAGACTCGTTAGGCAATGAGAAGGCTTTTAAATAATGTACAGTACAGACCTGTCATATACCTCAAAACTATTTTGGCAATAGGATAAAAGCATTTTTTTCCTTCTTGTATTACTTTCAAAGTGTTAAGTACAGCTTTACTTCAGGCCACCAAAAGATATAAAAGTTCATTTCTTACTTTCTGAACAATCCCATTGAAAGTATGACTTGAACTTGGATCTTTGATGTTACTGCAAAATCAGGGACAATTTTAATGTCAATTTCAATTTTCTTTTACATCTTAACTGTCTGTATTCATCTTGTCATTTTCTCATTCAGGTACATGCCATTGCATCCTGAATCCAATTGTTGTCTTCTTTACTTTAAACAGACAAAACCTTTGAGAGGAAAAGTAAACAGTCCCTCAAAGTGTACCTTTATTTTAGCCACTAGAAGGTGGTTAACTTTAAAAGTAGATTGAACATATATGCACTGAGTTGACTAAAGGGAAAGTATGATGACTAAATAAAAAGCAACGCATTTGCTTTTGGTATAAGGCAAGACCAGGGCAGTGATTTGAGTAGTTGCACATGTTTGTGCCTGTTTATCGTTAAATTTATTTATAACCACTAAGTAATTGTAAAATGACTTAATTTCCCCACCTTTTTGAATGAATTAATGCGATGTATAATTGAACAATTGTCATGTTGTAGTTACCTTCCCCAACCTACATAACTTTTTCAGTTTCTGAAAGCACTTCATTTCTTTTTTGGTAAAAAAAATATGTAATAAAGAACTACAAAACATTTTATTTAAACAAATTGTAAATGTGTTTAAAAAAATTATGTCACATTGTACATACCAAGAACCTGTGTTGCAGGAATACAATTCATTCTTTTATGTTGATATAGGTTCTTCTTGTTCTGTAAATTTGACCCACAGCACCTTTATCAGCAATTCTCATCACATCTTCAAATATCCTTCTGGCTCCTTCAGGTTTAAAGAATGATCATGGTTAGATAATCCAGGAAGTCTTTGTAAATGTGTGCTAACCTTCACAGCTATGTTTACAGTTATAGTAACCTCTTCGCTCAGACATTAGAGGTTCTAGCTCTTTTTTTTTTTTTTTTTAAACTGTCCAGCTTTGTAAGATAAATCTACAAAAAATGTCAAATGTTGTTGTACAAAACCCAGCAACAGTAGCAGGTTGTGGCTGAGAAAGGAGAGGTATCTAAGATATAGCGGGTTTAAAAGCATAGCCATACTTGAAGATGCTTCAGAGTGTTTCTGAGTGAGTCAACATTACTTGAATGACTTTCTGGGCTTAACTAATGCACTACATGTGCTCAGCTCAAGAGGTTCAGCTAGCAGTTGATACATACTTGGTCTTTGCAGTTGGACACTAAAGGTATAAAATAAAAGATCAACTTTTTCCTGTTATTTTATTTTTTAAGGCTTCCCTTGTTCTCCTGAAGTTTGGTTTGCTACAAAAAAAAAGGAATAAAGGATGGATATTAATACTGTAAGTATTGTAATGTACTGACTGCAGTTTATTTGAAAGCTGTTTATTATATCATTCCTGATATTGCTGAGATGTGGGTGTTTTTTTTAATAAAATGTATATTTATTTAAAGCAATTTGAGTCGATGTTGATATCCAATTTCTCTGCATTATTGAACACACACTGAGGGGTTTAAATGTGTAAATACAAATGGAATTGCATAGAGATAGTTTCATGTTCACACGTTTATTTTTTATTTACCCATACAGAAAAGCCTTTTTTATTCTTTTTACAAAATTTCTTGTTAGTGATCGCAAGCTTTAACTCATCACAGTTTTAAAGGCAAATTATAGACATATTAACACAGTTTTCAGTGTTATACAAGAAAAAATAACCTTGAACATGGGCCCCAAAAGAACATCAACACATATACAATATCTTTCCAATTTAGTAGAGAGGGGAGGGTTTACCACTGACCTTAAATTAATATAATCAACAATTAATCAGTTTGGTGGTCAACATGAGATCCAGAAAATCTCACTCTACAAAGCAGAGAGCTCTACCATTTCATATTGACAACATAATGGGTATTAGCATATTTTCTAAATTCTTGGATGGAGACCACAGATGGCACTTTAAACAGCTGAGGAGGAGTCCTTACCAAAATGTAATCCAGCTGCATGCAAAAGATGCAACTACTCCATATGCTAGAGGAGTTGTGTTGGTTTCAATAATGTCTTTAGGCCTTCAGACAAAGTACCACTTGTCCACTGTATAATAAGAGAGTATGTAAAACATTACAAGCCTTAAAACAATGAAACTCCTCTAATACACAAAATTCTGTGGAGTTATGTTTTTGTTTACTTACCCTCTGGAGACACAGTGTGTGAGCTTCCAGATGTAGGGGCCTTGGATGACAAAAATGACAATCCATGTTAATCACCAGCACTGACCCAAACAGTTTCAGTTGCCATGTTTGTGTCTGCTTTGACTGTTGTGAAAACATCAGTATGTGGAAGTTCCTACCGATTTGACCACACCTATGGCCTCTTCTGAACTACAGTTGAAAGGGCTCTCGCAGCAGGAGGTATTTATGCTGAACAAATAAGAAAATAAGTCAGTGGGATGTTTTACACATACAGTCAATCACACATGTACATAACACACTGAAGTTGCTGTCTCTGTGGTTTTTCCCCTCCAACAACTTACCATTCAATCCCTGCACCATTTGTCTGCTTCTGCACTAGTGCCCTCCAGTGCTCATGTGTGGACTTAATGATCTTAAGTGCAAAGTCCTAAGAAAAGGACAAAGGACATCAGAAAAAAGATAACTATTCTCAGAGAGCAAAATATGTAGGCCTATTCGGTTTAAGCCACTTAAACTGCAAACCCTGAAGTCAAACTGTCTTGTTTCATGCATGTACTGTACTTGGTGCCCTAAAGGTCTCAGTACCTTGTCTTTGAATTGCCCATTAAATCCAAATTGGTTCTCAGGCTTTCCATCGGGCACCTTATACTTCCTAAACCAGTCGACGGTGGCTTCTAAATGACCAGGCCGGCTCTTGCGAACATCCTCTATGTCTGAGGATCACAAAAAACAGTCAACAGAATAAGAACAATGCAGACATTAACTTGTAATGAATGAATAAAATGTAAACCCGAATTTCACCACACTTGCTTTTAGGTATTCATCACATTGAAAACATGTTGACATTGTTTTACCTCCTAAAGAATGTTGAGGTGCAACTATTATGGAACAATTACTTAGAGATTATTAATGAGTAAACATGAATTAATTTATAAATACTCCTATAAAACAAGAAATTACCTATAACACTAGAAAAGTTTTCATTTCAGAGTAATAAAAGGTTAGTTACAAATTTAGTACAAGGTAAAAAAAAATAAACATCTAGGGTCTTTGGGATACAAACAATGTCTTAGAGAGAAACGTTGAATGTAAACAAAACAATGTTGACAATAAAAACTTTGCTTCTGCGTCTCAGCCGATAGCATTCTGAAAAATATTCAGGCTTTTATTTTGTCCTGCTGAGACTGTCCTACAGTCCAGATAAAATACTATTTCTATGATTTTAATAAAGACAGGATTAAGCCCTGTTCACACTTGACTTCTTTTTTCAGAAAAAAAGCGCTGGTTTCAGAGCCTTTTGAGCGCTTATGCGCGAGTGTTCTGTAACCTTAACAACGGGATCTAGCCTACGGTGCAACTGTGCCAGAGCCAACCGGAGCACGATGCATCAATTTAGCACAGAAAAGAACAAACGGGAAGGGAAGTCAGACACCGATACAACATTAAAACATGCGATTTATTTTCAGAATAAAACTTTCCGTTTTGATGGTTCAGAAAAACGTCCGTTTTTTAAGGTTTGTATTGAGTTTTATACCACATACATCGTATTATCTGGTGCTGTTGCGAGTGAATCTGTAACATTAGGGTTAGGGTTAACCCAGCTGTCCGGCTGTGCTCTCCATGCTGTGGACTGAGAACGCAGCCGGTGAGCGTTGACGGATGAGGGTGCACGGACTCTCAACAGACCGGAGCGGACACGCAATGCACACATATCTGGTGGAAGTTTGACGTTTTTGTGTGCATGACATCTCTTTGGGCACCGGTAACTAGGGACGTAGGTTACTACTCGTCCTGATTGGTCAGCTGTCAGAAAGGCACTTGATGTCACCAAGTGCTTTTCTGAAAAGTTTAAATAATTCAACTGAAAAAGGCGTCGGGCGCAGCGCTTTTTGAAAAGGCGTCCATTTTTAAAAAGGCGTCATTCTTTTTCCTTTTTCCATAGGCTTGTATGTAAAAAAGGCGCTGGCAGTTGAAAAAAGAAGTCAAGCGTGAACACGGCCTTACTTGAAATATTTTTTCAAGGTAGAAACCGGATTGGTTTAGGCACTTTTTAGATGATAACTAATTATATGTTCTCCAGGGAAAAACACCCACTATTTAAGTTCATGGCATCCGGGTCCTCAGCATTGATAGCGATGACTTTCCAGTCCATTTCTCCCTCGTCTATCATGGCCAAAATACCAAGCACTTTTACTTGGATCACCTGACCTGGAGAGCACACCTGATGAGTGGAGACCATTTAACAGTCAATCAACCAAAGAGTGTAAACAAAGTGTGCAAAAAAACACTTTAAAATGATTGAGTTTATAGACATCTCTAGGAGTCTTACCAGGGTGCCGATCTCACAAACGTCAATTGGATCGTTGTCACCACAACACTTTGTCTCTTCATCTGTGTGGTTTGGGTCCTCCCATGTCTTTTCCAAGGAACAGGTCAAAAGCATTTTAGTAATCTAAATGTTCTCGGCAACATTACAACTACCTGACAAATATAAAAAATACACTACATATAAATTTATTTAAAGAAACTATACTTTAGATTTAAAATAATGGCTGTTGTTAAAAAGAAAATCAATCAGTGAGGGTTCTAAAGACAGTATCATTTAATTGACTAGGATCAAAATTCCGCCTGAGAGTGATGGATTTAATCATATTTAATCAATCATTCATTTTACAATGAATAAGAACAATGAATCACTTAGGTTCTGATGTTAACTCACCTGTGGAATAGCCCCATAATTCCAAATGTAGCCTTTATGGGGAAATATGTTTGCAACATACCGAAGCTTTCCTTTCTTAACATCTTGTTTGATCGGGTTCAGCGGTTCCTTTGTTGCAATCTGAAAATTGAATCAATTTTGAATATAATGGTATTTCCATTTTCAATTTACCAGTCTGAGAGCATGCTTCATTTCTCTAGAGTAAATCCCACTGAACGCCTTAGCATCTGGCTTCTAGCTAGCTATAATAAAAGCAGATACATGCTACTGTTAATGACTTGGAAACTGTTAAACAACAGATACAACTTGTAATGGCATTCATCATATGCAACATAAAAAAGCTTTGAGGCTTTATGTATGATCACAGGAGCACGTGAACTAGTGGTTGGTTTGCGTGCCCCATGAACAAGGCCATGGACCTCCAAGCGGACGGCCTGGGTTCCAAACTGAACTGTGGCTCCTTTCCCGCATATCATTCCTCACTCTCTCTCCACCTTATTTCTGACTCGATCCACTATCCTATCTCAATATGAAGGCATAAAAAGCCCAAAAAGCCTCCAAATAAACCATTACAAAACATACATATATTATCACTGAATTTAACTTTGCATACTCGTTAACATGCATCTCAGTCTTCACTAAAGCTGTTATAGCAGTCGTAGTATTAAAAAGGGGATATATGTAACGTTTTACATGTATAAATCGAATGGTTAACGGATGTGAAAAAGTAGATGTTCACTGTCTATCTGTGTTGCCTGTATAAAATTTTTCCCCGGGTCGTATTTTCTGCGAAAGCTCCAGGAAGTGACATTTTCTGCACGTTCTCAACGTCCTCCTCACTCCGCTCCGCTTACAGAGATCAACAGTACAAACTCCTCACACACTCCCGGTCTTCACCTGCACAGCCAGAGGCCGTTTTCCACACACACTTCTATCCACCCTAGGAGCTCTCAAAGGCAGACAAACTCATCACACACTCCCGCTCTCAGCCAGTGCCTGCCGAGACTGTCGTTTGTAGGATGGAGAATGAATACAGACACACAGACTCCTTCACAGACTTTCACATGTGTATGACCACTTAACTCCTCTTAAACATTATGCCGGTAAATATCCAGTGTTTCGCGGCCGATGATGATGATGCTCATTTCTGTACATACGAGCACGTATGACGCGCACGTGAGGGAGAGCGAGCAACAGGTTACTGGTGCAGTTCGCCTAACGGCCATGCGGTATCGCTACAAACGCAGTATTTTAGAAAGTTACATATAGCCCCTTTCATGTAATCATTGCTCACACTTGTACTAAGTCCTTCTTACCTCCATTTTAGCATTTGACCACCGAGGTACCTCTACTACCATGTTAAAAAGCACCTGGAAGAACAAGAAAGAGCTGAAGAGAGTACATGGTTGAATGTTTTCACCTGGTAAAACTGACGTTACATGAATCTGGTACCTCACTCTCATTCTGTTTTGGCTTTTTAGCTGGCACACCATCACCCTGTTGAAAGAAAAATAAAAAGGAAACTGTTATTTGGATTATGTTTATTGTCGATAA